GTGAGGATCTTTTGGCAGATCTCTACTCCTCCACATCAAAATGAGCCAGCTGAGGTGGTGCATGCATCCGACCTCCTGGACTGTCACAGGTGACGTGTTACCAGCCAAACTGGGAACGAACTCCAGGGCAAACACAGTCTCTCTCTTTCATTAATGAACTTTGACCTGCTTGTCAGAGGATTAAGGTCTCAGCAGGTGAGGTTTACTGATGTTAGAAAATTAAATTAAGTAGAATTCATCTGGCATTAAAGTGTATGTAATGGAGATGTTTGCAGGTGAGGTCACTTATGTCAGAAGAATGTCTGTGAAGTTTGGGAGAGTTTGAACTGGATTTCTTTGAGGTATAGCAGTTTCATGTTTCATGGCGAAACATCAAAATTCACCAAGCTGCTGAGGTCACGCCCTCTTATGAAAACTTACTGTTTTGAATGTGACCTAAGACCAACTCCTTCAGGCTTCCCTGAACAAATTTGAGGTTGCTGGCATCAAGCGTCTTGAAACTGTAGCCCAAAGTGTAAAACACGACATTTCCTGTTCTCAGTAGGTGGCGCTGTAACCACTGTCAAATATTGCAGTTGAAATGTGTTCGGGGGATGAAGCTTTATCACGTGTGAGAAGTTTGGTACAGATCGGTCAATGTATGTGGGAATAAGAGCCAATTATAATTTCAAAGCGAATGATTGAAATTCGCTGTGGCGCCACAGAAACGCCCTTAGGTGAAAACTCTAAAGTTCCACAATTTAATATGGCTCAGATCTGTAGTCCAGACTGACGAAACATGGAGCTGATCCGATAAAATCTTTAGGAGGAGTTTGCAACAACGCCCGGAAATGGCCAAATCTATGCCAAAATGTTACCTTCAAGTCAAAATGGTGGTGGTGAGTTGGCACATGGGTCCAATAGACTTTTTGGTACATCTTGGGATGTTACACATGTGTACAAAATTTCATACATTTACATAAAAGCCCAAGCAGGGGCTCATTTTTTTCCCACTTTGTACGGGGCGCTACTGAGCCATTTTGCTGTGCCCAGGTCTCAAACCAGTAAATTTTCACCAGGCTTGACGCAATCGCAAAGTTTCTTGAGTTTTCAAACATGTTAAAGCCCTCAAAAAGCCAATTCATTTGTCTGGATAATAACAAGAAGAAAGGGAGCGATTACAATAGCGCATTCGCACTTTTAGTGCTCAGGCCTAATAATGGATTCAACTGAGCCATTTATTCACGCCACTGAATAAACTTCTGCCATTCTAGTCATTTCACAGAGCTGCTCCTTCGTACTTTAAAACATGCAATAACCTTTTCTCCTCTCTCTCTGTCTCTGCAGATAGCTTGTCGCCTCCCGTCAATGTGACCATCAGAGAGGTAAAAGCAAACTCTGCTGTGGTGTCATGGGACATCCCCGAGGGAGACCCAGTCATTGGCTTTGCCATCACACAGCAGGTCGGTAACACTCTCTGTCCCCTCTATACCACTGTAACCATTAATGCTAATTACTGCGCTTATAAGCAGTAAAAATACATATGGAAACGGTCAAAGAAACAGCAAAGTTTTACTGTTAAATGAAAAGCTTTTGGAGGGAATAAAATCACCAAACCTTTTATTTATTGCAACTCATATTACAGTTTTACAGCTAAAGATACAACTTTACTAGATACGCCTGTTCAACTCCTCATTAATGCAAATATCTAAAGTTCAAAGTGAGCAGCAGATGGAGTACAGCAGCAGAAGACTACACCGTCTGCCACTCCTGTCAGCCAAGTTCAGGATACTGAGGCTCCATTTTACACCACATCACCAAAATTGGACAATAGAAGATTTGAAAAATGTTGCCTGGTCTGATGAGTCTTCTTTTCTGCTGTGACATTTGGGTGAAAAGGCCTGAATTTGGAGTAAAACAACATAAAAGTATGGCTCCATCCTGATTCGTATCAATGGTTCAGGCTCCTGGTGGTGTACCTAATAAAGTGTCCCCTGAGTGTACATGTAAATGTACTACAATGTAGGTACATTCATTAATGCATGTAGAAGATTTCTTGAAGAAACTCCCCAAACTAATTCAATTAAGTTGTGGCTTGTCACAGGTTATTGTCTGCCACGTCCACTTTCCTTTCCTGTGTTGCTCCCTCGCTCCGAGTCAGAATGCATTATGGGAATCATCAGAGGATACGGCATCCTGTCGGACAGCCTGTCCCCTCGCTGACAGACTATGACAGCTGTGTGACAGGAGAAAAGTCAACATGCAAGCTTAGACACACATCTCTCGCACAACCACGCATTTACGTGGGACAAGTTGCCATCTCGTGGTTGTACAAACACACATATGCACCCGTCCACAGGAGTGACATGTTTGATGGCAGCACTGGAAGCTGGGAAATGTGTGGTTTAAAGCTATCAATAAAAGTTAATAATAAGAAACAATAGCAGAGGACTTTCAGCTGCTTTGCAGTGGTTATTGTTCAGGCTGTTCTCATTCACTGGTCATCAAATCCCGCCGTTTTATCAAAGCTGCTGCAGTCACAGAGATGTATACAATATCAGATGCTGCGTTATTTTAAAGTATGACACGTTTGAAGCATTCAAAAAAGGATGGCGGTGGTTCATTCATATAGCAAACCCATCCTCCAAGTCTTGGCAAAAAAGGTAAAAGCATATTCACTCTTTATTTTGTATAACACTAACATGAAATGCACCTGACAATTAAAACTTCAATTCAGAAGTCAAGCACAACTCAAGTGCTCCCAAAAGTCCTTATGGTTTCCCAACGTCTCCCTCCACACAGTTTTGTGTGGTTTTTCCAATGCTAACTGTGCTAACTGTGGTCCTTGTGACTGTGATTTTAAAACTGTTCCAGGCATCTCTTAACCAGAAACCAAAACAGTTTGCATCCCATTTTAAATCAGCGTTTAACAATAAATGTCCAAAACACAGATGTTTAAATCCAGAGGTCAAACATAATGAGTAAGAATATCACTTCAGGCTGAAAACAGAGCTGAGAAACAGCACAATTTGACAACTTGGAAATGTATTTAGATTTATTTTGTCTGTGTCCACAGATAATGAATGATCCCCTGTCAAATTTGAATTGTGGGGTCCCTCAAGGCTCTCGCCTTGGCCCTCTTATTTTATAAGCACACTTCCTCTCAGCGACTGTTTCGCCAACACTCTACTATCCAACAACACCAGCAGCGTTGGTAATCTACTTACCCACTTAAGGGTGAAAACTAAACTCACCAAAGATAAATCTTAAAATTTACCACCTCGGCCCAAAACAAGCTTTTTGCATTCAGTCTGCTCCCAACCTGGGAGCTGTTTTTGAAACCGATCTCTGTTTCAGCCCCCCTGGTTTAGCACAACAAGAACAATTTCCAGAATTAGATCATTCTTGTCAGCTGCCGAGTTGCATTTATTTCACCAGCCTTGATTAAGGCTAAATGGACAGATACTTGGCTTTTATTTGAGCACCGAATGCACTTTCTTACAACAAGCCTCATTCAAGTGTGTTATTTTGTGCCTAGCTTTCACACGTACTCTCATGGATGCATTTGGATTTACAGATGCTCAGAAGCAGACTACAGAAGCCGGAGATTGCACCACCAACCTCGAGATTAGTAGACGATCCGCTCCGGAGTCACGTCATCATAACTAAAGCATTTCCTTTGGGATTAATAGTTGTCTGATACTGATCCTGATTGTGATATAAGAAGATAATACCTTTTATAACAGCATCAGTCAGAGCTCACATCACCGGCTCAAGCTGATCCAGAACTCTGCTGCGTGGATTTTAACTGGCACCATGAACACATCACTCCAGTTCTGGCAAATTTACACTGGCTGCCTGTTAAATGCCAAATTGATTTTAAAATCTTACTAATCACTTTTAAAGCACTAAATGGCCTCGCCCCAGAGTACATTAAAGATTTATTTACCTCTTATGTGCCTGGGTGTTAAATTGGTGAATGGTTATTCCAGCATCTTGGCTAGTAATCAAAGAGCTCCCAAGCGGCGGGACCACTGAGATCAGAGTAGCCACGTCTTCATTGTTTTGTTTTGTTTTAAAGTATTCTTGGGAGGGGGTGTTGATGTGCATATGTTTAATTTGTGTGACAAACTTTGTAATTTTGAGAAAAGTGCTTTAAGAATAAGCTTTTTGTAATTATAATTACCAACAAGGCAGGAAAGACTGATACAGAGGATGGAAAAGTAACAAAGTCGGGAGGTCAAAGGTTATAGGAAATAAAAAATGACCAGGCAAACCCAGAGCCACGGCCATTAAGTTTAATTTTTGTAAAATAAAGTGCGAGTGTAAAAGCTGGTTGCATGTGTCTCTCTGTCACCCTCCAACAGAAGAAAGACGTGCGCATGCTGCGATTCATCCAGGAAGTCAACACCACCACGCGATCCTGTGCATTATGGGACTTGGAGGAAGAGACAGACTACATTGTGCATGTCCAGTCCATCTCCATGTCTGGGACGAGCCCACTGAGCGAACCGCTGCGCTTCCGGACGCCGAAGGAGGCCGAGACTCAGGCCTCTAAGAGTGAAGGTGAAGCGTGACAGCGCCACACATGCAGACGCATCCACACAAATACACTCCTTCACCCAACACGTCCACACTTAAAAGAAAAAAACCCTGAATCTGTCGGTTTTCCAGACATGACTGCAGCAGGGACTTGGCCTTTTGACAGCATTGTGACTGATTTTGTCCAAAGACCAATAAGAATCAATAGAAACACAAACCATGAAATGAAATTTCACAAGAAAGTGCTCTTGAAGCTTGCCCCCTCTAACCACAACTCGGGAGTAGAAGAGCTGAGAGGGATGCATACTTCACTGTGTATCGACTTGCCTTCCTGGCCTCACCCAGCATACGCTCTGCACAACTGCACTGTAAACCAAAATGAGGAAAGGCATTTATCAGACGCAGGGAGGAGGCAGTGGGAGCTGTGAGGGGTGGGGAATCGATGCGCTTTTGGCTGAGGCGCTTCTCCAACTATTCTTCCTCTCATTTACACTCATGTCTCATGTGAGCTGCAGCTTCACTCCAATACTTTGCAAAGTGTTGAGCCAGAAACAGTCTGAACTTCTGTTCTGGTGGTGAGCGGGCTGGCAGAGGCATGTAGAACACAAAAACAATCATTGCAGAGCGGCGAGGCGATGCTCTCGCCACCGCCGAGGCCTAATTAGCACCGGATGTGTTGTCTGTGTGTTATTTGTGTAGCTGAGAAGAATTTACAGAAATCAATAACAGCACAGATAAACTTGTGCGCTTTCATAGAAGCCTGCTTCTCTTTCTGTCCGTGCACGTGCTCGTTTCTTTGAGGTTTCAGGACGCAGTAGCGGTTTTTGATACGGGCGACGCGGGCGGTTGCCCGGGGCGGCATCACGGGCATCGGCAACAAAAAAAAATTGCTCGTACTCAAGCTGCCCCGAC